CTGGTAAGCGCCGCGACGAGTTCAGGTAAGTCAAACCTGACTCGGTACCAGACAAGAGGGGATCGACCCGCGTCGCGACCAACGAGGGCAGAATCGCGGAGCTCGCGTCTGTGAGGGTTGCCTAGGGGCAAGCGCCTCGCCAGGCAAGGAACTCAGTCGAGTCCACGCTACCAGCAGGGCAGCGGCCTGGGGTAGGCCCTCGGCAATTCTCTGCCGGACCTCCCGCCAAGGCGAAGCAAAACGGAAGCCGCCCGCCATGCTCCTCGACCTCCCAAGCTCCATTGCCTCGGCGTCCGAGCCCGAAGTCCAGAGGCTGGGTCTCCTCCGTGAAGAGGACCCTAACCCCGACCCGGTGGACTGCCTAACGCTGGGCACCACAGGAAGGAGGAACAGACCGACTGCTCCACGTCAGCGCCAGCGGCGTGCGTGGACCCGGTCTCGGCGCTGGAGGCAGGCCAGGCAGAACTGGTGCCTCCGGCTCTCATGGGGCGGGTGTGCGCAGGACGGAATACCAGGAATACTCAACGGCCCAAGCGCCAAGCTCCGAGAGGGGACTGGGAGCACCTCCCTCTCGAGCAGCCGAAGGCGTCCGATTGAAGCCAGAGGCAACGGATCGACAGACGCCTCAAGGCTGAGGGATCTAGCGAGGCCGGCGATCCCACCCCTCGACTTCTCCGCCCGTCCGGGTGGGCGAGGAACTCCTGGCGGAGACCTCCAACCGACTCCCGAACGAAGGACTTCATTGAGTCCATCTGCTTCTGAAACATCGACTCCATTAGAGACATGTCAAAACCACTTCGGCGGTAGTAGAGGGGAAGGGCCACGGGGATTTTTCCTTTTTGGACGCCCGTTTAGATTTTGACGGGGAACCTGCGTCAGGTCCCCTCCCGCCTCACGATCTCGCGGTAAACAGGGTGTCGGCCGCCCGCCTCTTCTGAGCCCGGGAAAAGGCCAGGACAAATTGAACATGTATCAGCCACATGGCCCGTCTTCTCCAGACAGGCCACGCATTGGGAGTGACTGTCAGCCCGGGGAATACTTCCCCCACAGACCGAACAACAGGTAAAAGCCTGAAACAAACACGTAAACATGTTAGTTAACTTGTGGCCAGAAGCAGAGAAACACGTAGAAAACATTGAAAAATACGTGAAGGTTACCACGGAAAGTAATAGTTGGTTTTAAAACGCAATATTACGACCACGCGGCACGCTAAACTTCCCGCCATGGCAGAGCAAACTTGCGTAAACCACGGGAAAGTTTGCGTATTTTGATAGTACTTATACAAAGTCACAATTATGAAACATCTTAAAATACAGCGCCGTACGGCTCATGAAAGGTAATCACAACGAACGTCTGTTCAGGGCCGTGACAGCAGAAGGAATGATGATACGGGTCTAGGAGCCTACCCAGTTGGTGCGCATGCGCGCCAAGGGAGGTAACTCCGTGAGGTAGGGTCCGTATAATAAATAAAAGAGTTTATTTATTGTACAATCTTTTTATTCAAAAAACATTGATACAACTGTCACAGGACATTTTACAGCCGGAAAATGCATAATATGTACCCCAAGGACGATCTCTCTGAAAAAGAACATGAAATCACTTGACATTTTGAAGTCTATTTATGATTGGCAGATAGTCATCATTATCTTCAACAATGTGTAGATCACAATCATCATCAAAACCATCATGAACATTGACTAAATCGTCTTCTGAAAATAAATGTTTTGTACAGACTGTGTGAGTTAAGCCTTGTGATTGGGGCTTTGTACTATCTATTTGTTTGTGTTCCATGTCAAGAGGTAATGATATTGTGACTTGCAATCACTTGCAATCAATCTTTATATAGACACGCTTTAAGAATGTGAAAACTGGAGAACTGTACATGATGCACACAAAATGTCCCTTGGGATAGTGACGAAATCATCTTATCTTGTGACTTGTTCATGTGGGCGTCTTGAAATTACCTGATGCACACCATTTATCGGCCAAGTAAATGTTTATACAACAGAACAACTTACTGCCTTATCCTAAATGAACACAAAATGATAGGAATTTTCCGTTACCAGCATCTTTCAATCTCAAATTTTCCGTTACCAGTGTTAAAAACTCTGTGACATTTCTAAAATATTATTTTAGTGAAATTGATGTTAAAATATTGATATATATGACACAATTTTATGTGGAAGACTTGACATAATTCGTTGTGAATATTTTGGTCTTCGAGGGTTGTTAAACTTGATGTTTTACTCATTTTTATTATCAAAATGACTTTCATTGCAAATTATGATAAAAATTATATCCATGGTATTGCTAGATTTATTCAAGTAAATTATACAGTTGCAAAATGATATTATGTGTTGATTAGCCAAATTATAGTCTTTAATACCACAAACTAAAGCTATAATTACCATTTTATCTTATTATAACACATATCATTGCAAAGAATCACAAATCACAAAGACCCTGTCATAAGTCATAAAGTTTCTGTAGCAAAAATCACAGACTCCACTCTCACTATAACCAAGTTCTCTACCAGTGCCTAGGGGCGTGGTGGGCAAGCTGTCTAAGACGCCAGGCTAGTGATCCAGTGAACTTTGGGGTGCCGGGATCGAGCCCACCTGTGACCGGGCGTAAAAACCTTGGAGTCAACTTTGTGTGCAGACTCTTTCAGTGTTGTCACAACCCCTAATGTACAGTACACAACACTGTGCACTTAAAAGAACCCACGAATCCGTTGGTAAATGACCAGATGGTGGCCACATGAATACGTGCAAACACCTAGTTGCGGGTACAGCAAAGTGCAGTAAACTTGGACAAAGAACTGTGACTATATGTCCCAGTCCACCAAGCTGTGAATGGGTACCTCGTTAGGATGAGAAAGTCACATTAACTCAGTGCGCCTAGTGGCAGCAAGGGCTGTATGATCCCCAGGGAGTTGAGATTGATATGATGTGCCACTGAGATTGGCATCCAATGATCAAGGGAAAAACAAAGAAGTGCTTTGAGCATGCATGTGGGATGGACTATAGCGCTATATAAATACCCATATAATAATAATAACCCTTGTACAGATGGAATATTGCCAAGTGTGGCGTTGAGAAAACAAAAACCAAACAAATACAGTCCTTTTTACTGTGTGCAGGGACCTGAGTCCAGTGACCCAGCTGTATGTGAGTGTCGACGCCAGCACCAAGGAGAGCTTGAAGAAGATCGACCGCCCGCTGTTCCGGGACTACTGGCAGCGTTTCCTGGACAGTCTGGAGGCCTTGGGCAGCAAGGGGCAGAGAACTGTGTACAGACTGACCCTGGTCAAGGCCTGGAACACAGATGAAGTGAAGAACTATGCCAGCCTCGTCTCCCGGGGAAAGCCAGACTTCATCGAGGTCAAGGTAGGAAATGGTTCAATGATCTTCATGAAGTGTAGCCAGGAGGGGGAGCCTGGTGGGTGAGTTGTTGGGTTGTCACACCAAGATCAAGCATACATTATTACGGATATCACTCAAATCAGGTGAACGGGAAGTACGACATGAACTGGTCACAGTTTTCAGTAAAGTGGTGAGGAATATAGGCTTTCCCCTCATTTAAGTACTGGGTAGGGATGTCAAGATACATAAGTTTTGTGAATCAATATATATCATGATACCCATGTCATGATTCGATACGTATCACGATACCTATTTTCGTGGCATTATTGTGTAAATTTAGTTACATTTTGAACATTAATATTTCATATTTTATAATTATCCATGAAACGATCAACATTATGCTCAGAGATTAACAAGTTCTAATTTCCCATCTGCATGAAAAATAATCATTTATAACTTACCTGGGGTACATATCTCTAATACCCATTCTGACAAAGACCCTGTCAGCATTAATATGGACTTAACACGGACCAAGGGTGTTCACACAGTGGTGATGTGGATTTCCACTGTATGCACGTGATGTCTCTTGTTTATGTCTCCATAAATCTTAAAAGTATTGAAACCAATTAAAAAATAAATAAATGCCATCAACAGTGGAAATCAGTGATGACTCCATAGCCAGCTAAAACAAGTAAATGCCATCAACAGTGGAAGTCAGTGTCATTCTGCACAATGATGCAACACAAACCCCACCTGTTCTGTTATTTACCATTCTATTATCTACCAATCAGGAAACGGTACTCTTTAGTGGGTGTGGTAGAATTTTGTGTCAGTTTATGGTAACGGGAAAAATAAAAGATGGTCTGGTGAGCCAATAAAACGTCACAGAATCAAATTCTTCAAATTTATTCTTTTTTCAGGGTGTCACCTACTGTGGCGAGTCCAAAGCTTCCACCCTGACGATGGCCAACGTGCCTTGGCACCAGGAAGTTGTTAGCTTCGTACAACAACTTGCAGATGCGCTGCCAGATTACGAAATAGCTTCGAACACGAACACTCCAACTGTATACTCATCGCGCACACACAAAGGTGAGTCACATGACTGATTGGACTGTCTTGCTTCTTTCTTTCGTGGTGTTCCGCCTCGAGAGCCGGAAGGTCGCTGGTTTTTTAACCTTTAGTCCCTGCCTGGATCTAATGGGCAACAAGGACTGGTCGGCTCGAGTGTATATCTGTGATCACTTCAGCATGGTATCTTGCTAGCACTATAAAAAAGTACAAGCAGCCTTTTTATACAAACATGCGGCTTCAAGATTATTTCAAAGATACCACCTCCTTGATACAGTTGTGGAGATTTGATTTTGTTTTCCAGAAATTTGAACTTTGATTATTTCAAGATACCACTACAGTGGAGATTTGTTTTGTATGAATGAATATGAATCAATACTTCTTACTGCAGACTTTAGAAAAAGTGAATATGACTTGGCTGATCTTGGTTTTTTGTGTTATTCAATGTAAGACTGTTGGCTTGGTAGGCAGAAATACTCACAAACATTTTATTTCTCTTACAGTTCAAGATCAAGGATGAATGGTGGACATGGATAGACTATCCTCGGTTCCACCAACTCATATCAGAATACAACCAATCAGGAGGCCAGAAAACATTTACTGCAGAGGACTATATGGCCCCAACTCCACACTGGGCAGTGTTTGGAGCTTCAGAGAGAGGGTTTGACCCAGTAGAGACTCGGTTCCATAGAAAGAAGCAGAAAGACATCAGTGGATGCTAACATTTGCTGTTTGACCTTGAGGATTGATCTTGCTGTTTTACCTTGAGGATTAATCGTGCTGTTTGACCTTGAGGATTGATCTTGCTGTTTTACCTTGAGGATTAATCGCGCTGCTGTTTTACCTTGAGGATTAATGCGATTAATCTTGCTGTTTGACCTTTGGGATTGATCTTGCTACTTGACCTTGAGGATTGATCTTGCTGTTTGACCTTGAGGTCTGATGTTGCTATTTCACATTCAGGACTGCCCAGGATGTGTTCAGGATAAGGGATGGGGGGCTTGGGATGGATGGATATATTGAGTAAACCGACTACTGGAAGGACTTAGGTGTGTATGTGTGTTGCAAATCTGGGCCAATTGTTTGAGGTGTTGCCATTTGCAGTATAGAGTTATTTCCTTTAGGCATTCCCAAAAATCTGTTATCCTTTGTATCCCAGTTTTCCCAGATTATGTTTCAGGCTTGTCCTGCACAATACTATTTCTGGTTCATTCAGTTCATGACTTAACATGCCTCCGTTTGGGTTTTTGTTCAAGTTCAGCTGAGATGCATTGACGTAACTGAAATACTGTTCAAAAGGGTGTTAAAACAAACTCTTGCACTATCTCACTCACTAACTCTTTGCATCTCATTTTTTCCTCACAATCTATCCAATTCATAGATAAATAATACAGAGTTTTCATTTTTCAGATCACGGTAGGAAATAATTTTTTGGACAATGAAACATGTTCTGTATGTCGAGTAAGTTTGTTTTTTGTCAAATGTCTGTTTTGGGCTGGGTGCATATTATGATAAATAATTACTAATTTCCATTCAGTCTAAATGAACTTTAAAGTACTCCTATTGGATTATCATGAAAATTATCTGGATCCTGAGGTATAGTCTAAAGACACCCCACAGCACTCTGTGTTCTCTTCTTTCTGTAAAAAGAACCATTCAGTCAAACCAGGCTTATCTGGACTTTTTTCAGTTCCGTGTATATATTGACTTGAATGGGTTGCTGAATTGGATATTATTTGTTTGTTTGTTGTTTAATTCCTCACTCGTAATATTCCAGTTGTAGGACAGTAATCTGTAAATATTCAAGCCTGGACCAGGCAATCCAGTGATTGACGTCATGACAATTGATCTACGCAATTGGGAGAATCACTTGTTAACTGACCTGAGTTACCCCCCTACTCAAATTCGTCGTAGCCATAAAATCCTTTTACTGTGCAGACAATTGGCAATGATTTCATTTCATCTTTGAAAAAGGGATCATCTCAAACCTCACCTCAGAATCTGGAAACTGAAGTGTACTGTCCTCATATGGGAACAGCATTTAGGCCAGACCAATTTTATTTCTTGTTTTACTGATTTTTGTCCTCAGAAAAACACTAAAGGCAGGAGGGAAGAAAAATAAAAATAAAATCACCAGTCAAAGTAATATTCCGTCTAAATATTAAAAGTATTTTGCTTCTAGCAATTTATGAAGTGTATAAGGGGCAAAAAACAATCAAAAATTTTTTTTCTTTTGAGTTTACATTTTGGCCAATAAAAACATAAAGATTATATTTTGAGCGGAGAAATTTTTTTTCTTATTCTTGAAAAAATACAACCAGCAGATCTGTAAAACAAGAAATAAAATTGGTCTGGCCTTATGGAAAAACATTCATGTAGTATTTATTTTGTTTCAGTTGCATATTGTTGTATAAATATCCCATCCAAACATTCACCCTTCATGAGAATATTGGCGGGGATAAACTCAAAATCTTCCTAATATTGAGATGAATATGTGTTATGGTCTCTTATGAACATTTCTCATTTTGAAGCGATACTTATGATAAATGGACTAACTTTAAAACAGGAGCTTTCTGAGAATACTCTCCGAGTACCACTACTGATTGTCGTAAGAGACAGTGTTGATTATCGGTCATCGTACCGAGCAGTCTTGCCGCTGCTCCATTGGGTCATACCAACAGACTTTAAAACATAGTACTTGCTGTATCCCTGCCTTGTGCTCATCGTATAGGGACAAAATGAGGCCAGGTTGACTGGCATCACTGGTAATTGATTGAAGCAGTTTTCACTAAAAGGACTTAATGGTGATGCTTTCGATATTTGTGATATGATGTAAACTTGTTTGTTTATGACTGAACTGTTTCTGTATTATTGTTGTATTCTGTTTTATCATGTTTTTTAGAATCATTTATTTTGGCAGTTTGGTGATTTGCACAAAACATAATTGAGACTTAAATGCAATTTATACAAAATGTAGCTCTATTTTACATTATAATTACGAGTTGTGAAAGGTACACTGTTGAAGCACTGGCTTCAATGATTCAAATACTCTTTGAATTCTGCATTTAGATTTGTGAGAAAGTACATATTAATTCAGGGCCCACTTGTTTAATGTCAAAATCTTTGATTTTTGTTAGAATTATTGAATTATTGTATTACACATTATTTTATGTGTACCATAGCTGCTGATTGTATTGAGATTTATACACCCTGTGTCAACAACACAAGATACTGGTGGAATTCTTCACAAGAGTGTATTGATTCAGTGAAGGTGGGACTTAGTTTTGTTTTTGTTTGTTGTTAAACTCAGCAATATTCCAGCTATTTGACAGCGGTCTGTAAATAATCAAGTCTGGACCAGACAATCTAGTGATCAACAGCATGAGCAACTATATGGAATTGAGTTCTTGCCGTTGTTTTTTATTATTATTTTATTATCATCATAGGATATTTATATAGTGCACATATCCACGCAACTGGTACATGATCAAGGCACTGGTATTTTTTCCCTCGATCGTTGGATGTCAATCTCAACGGCACATCGTATTATCAATCTCAACTCCCTAGGGAGCATACAACTCTTGCAGCCACTAGGCGCACCGAGTTATTGTGGCTTTCTCATCCTAACGAGGTACCCATTCACAGCTGGGTGGACTGGGACACAGAGTCACAATACTTTGTCCAAGTTTACTGCACGATGCTGTACCCGCAACTAGGTGTTTGCACGTATTCATGTGGCCACCATCTGGTCATATACCAACGGATTCGTGGGTTCTTTTAAGTGCTCAGGGTTGTGACAACACTGAAAGAGTCTGCACAAAGTTGACTCCAAGGCTTGTACACCCGGTCACAGGTGGGCTCGATCCCAACACCTGAAGCTCGCTGGATCACTAGCCTGGCACCTTAGCCAGCTCGCCCACCTCACTTCATGTTAGTGCCATGTTGGCTGGTAATGGGTTCCGCCAAGTGGTAATGGTTTGAAACACTGGCTCAGACATCAGGCTGATCTGTCAAGGCAGATGTACTACACAATTATGTTAAAACTCAACACAACAGTTAAACATGGAACCTTGGAGGACCCCTTCACTTGTTAGGGAGAAGAGAGACATTGTCATTGAATATATAATCTTTGATCATTCATGTATTATTTGGGGGATGTGTGTCAACAATGTTGCAAGTATTTCTTGATATACTGATAGAAATAAATAAGGGGACATTTGAACAGATGAGTGAGGTTGTGAGTTTTGACTCTGGAGTAATGTTTCGGGTATAATGGCGTTTTTTAATTTAAGGTCTGAGGTGAGTCTGCCAGTGTTGACAGTGTGAGCCTCCATACTGTCTCCACAGATCACACATTGTACACATGTTGTACACACATTGCTGCAGCCAACTGATAGTTGTAAGTTGGTTCTTTGGATGATAAGGACATACTTGAGAGCTGTTCCCCTGGGCAGTCCCCACTGCACTGTTGTAGAAGTAGTTTAGGCTGGACATTACCTTAGTATCTCAGTGATGATCATAGGTTGTTAAAGGTCACATGCAACGTGAAAACACAACTTTGCAGATTCTGATACCTTTCGGTATGGACATACCGAAACAAATCGTCAAAAATGCAAATTCAACTTATTAAAATGAAAAAATAACGCGATGAAAAAAAGCGAAATCGGAGTTCAAACGATTCACTAATTTTTTCCCCAGACTTTTCTGGGAAAACGGGTTTCAACACCTGGGCTGCAGCCATAGCACGCGTCGCGCAAGTAAATAGGTTCGCGCAGCTTGGAAGCAGGTTGTCGGGTGAATACTCGGTGAAGGCTTTGGTGTGAGCTATTTTTCTAATGTTTTGTTGGTATCTCACAGGCGAGCTTTTATATGTTATGACAGTAAATTAACTGTTTATATAATTTCATTTGTCTATTTCACCACACGCTCTTCTTACCGGAGACACTTTCTCAGTTCGATACTTAAAAGCAATGTCATTATTTAGCGTTGACAGAATTTCTAACTGTGATATAGACATGTCGCGTTGTCACAGACAAAACTCAATGCCTTGTTTTATTGACACCTGTGTGTCTGCCTGCCTGTCTGCTAATGACAATATTCAATACACAGCTGCTATCACTGACCACATGCAATTTGAACTTAACACCAATCAGGCTATACACCATAAACAAAATGCATTGATTTATGGCCCGAAGTTCGGTCTCTGTCACATTATGTAATTACACAGACAGGCAGGTGTGATACTTGAACACATGACATGTTATGATGTCTGTTGATTACAAAATGTTATACACAAAAATGAGCATGTGTTTACAAAACCAAACATCTCTCTCTCTATATATACACACAATTAGCCGCGGAAGACATCTGCAAAATGAATCAGCCGTTAAACTTGAGTGCACACCCACCCACTCTGACTGGGTTCTGTATCCCGGCTGCTTCGCTTGGGAAGTAAACCGGCAGTACACAATTTTGCACTTCGACGGCGCATTGTACTTTATAAATTTTGTGTATATATTTTTTCAGAACCAGCAATGTATATTATATGTCATGAATAAGTGATAATTGTGTTTTAATTATGTTTGATTTTTTGGTTGCATGTGACCTTTAAGGAATGTATTGAACACTGATAACGTTTCAGTCTGTAATGTATTAAGTTGATGAAGAAATATACTGAGGGAAACAAATAAGGGAACACCACTTCATGGTAGTGTTCCTTTATTTATTCTCAGATTTCCTCCCATAGAGGTATTCAAAGCTGGTGATGAAAACTGGAAAATATTAAAGGAATGCTTGAATTTTCCTGTGTTCCTTTATTTGTTACCCTCAGTATATATCTTCATCAACTTAATACATTACAGACTGAAATGTTATCAGTGTTCAATACATTCCTTAACAACCTATGATGATCACTGAGATACTAAGGTAATGTCCAGCCTCAACTACTTCTACAACAGTGCAGTGGGGGACTTC